GTGGCAGGAAAAAATTAGCAGAACGATTCTGATTACTCTGTGTGATCCAATTTGCAATTGCGCCCATGTTTATCTCTGAAAATGTATTGATGAAATGTCACAGAAAAGTTGTACCATTATTTGATCTGTTCCTTCTAGGGAACAGCTTCTCGCATCGTCGAGGAATGTACAATTTATTTATTATTATTTACTATAATACTGCGTTCCACTAAGTGTCGTGGTTCAGTACGGGCGGAGTTGTATCACTGGCGACGGAGGTCAATTTTGGATACCTTTACTATGAACCAGCTCACTCCACCTGAACCGTTTTGGAAGGATGCATCTTGTAAGGCAACTTTAGCGCTTTGGTTTTGCTGGAAGAGAACCTTCTGCGATTACCTTGAACTGTTCTCAGTAACAAATCCACACATTAATCTTACCGAGGTCCAATCTGTCAAACTTCTGAGACAACATCTTGATGCAGAAGGTCAAATGCATTTTGATGTACTGCGTTTGTCCGAAAACACATCTTTGTCCGCCAGTCTTAATGCACTGGATTGCCTTTGGGGGCCGCGGTACCCCTGAGTTTTTCCCAGTTATGACGGGGAGAGGAAGAAGATATTAATGAATTCATCAGCCGTATACAACAATCAATTTCAGTAATTAGAGGAGAACGTTCACTTGTCCTACCATGCATTCTTATGTCAACCTCCCTTGCCTTGCAGCTTCTTCATGGGGCTATATGTTCTTCATATTTTCGCTGTGTTTTCTGTCCATGTTTGACTCTGGTGGTAATTGTGTAGATTTGTAGGATAAATGGAATGTCCTGGGTCGTTCTGAATCCTGCGGCTATTATTTTGTTTTCTGACTGACTGAGTGCTCCATGATTTCTTTGGAGGTATGAAATGTACGTGGAGTAGGCCGTGCTATGGATTTCATTAAAAATTGTTCCCCGGCAGTGTATAAACTAGTAGAGGGAATTCTGCATCCCTGTCGGCAAAACGGATTAACTGTTGACGTTTTCCTAGTTTATTTTGTGGGTTAATTGTCGCGATGTGGAAGCAAGTTAGTAACCATTTTAACGTGGAAAATGAGTCGCATCATTTTGTGGTCGCTGTCACGTGATTGTTGGGGTGTCCCAATGTGACTGAATATGAAGTGCGGTGGATTGACCAACCTGGGTGTTCTGGTAACCATTTGTGTCCAACCCCTCACTCTAATGTTAGAAAAAAAGGCTTGTGTGCAAAGACGACGATGTGGCGGCTGGCCAGCGTGTTTCCGCTAAGTTGTACTCACATTTATGTATCTTCTGTCTCTGTAGAAACCCCTGTGCAAAGTCAAATGCAGAAGTGATTTTGGTGATACCTTGGGCGCATTCGGATCGTTGTAGATTCTGCCAAGTAGTATGTAGAAGCAGGCACCTGCAACTGATAGTCCAATCGAGTTAGGGACATTTTCCATTTGTGAGCGGTCTAGACGTTCATTTGTAAATGTTTTGTGTACGTATATGATGCATCCTACGCCTTTCTTAGTGTAGCGATCTTTTCGAAACAGATGGTAGTTTGCAATCTTCCGAGTAGAGTCTTGTGTATCAGAGGCGCACCATGTTTTAAGGGACGAGGATCCCTTGTGGGTCATTGAACTGCACAAGTGTATGTAAAGAGCGACCTTGGCTGATTATGGATCTGTCATTAAGCAGATTCACTGAATATATGCTATGTTGAAGAAATGTTGCTATCTGTTGCATGACCGTCTGAATGGTTGGGTTCGAGCATGGTACCGTTGGTAGATAACTGCCAGAGTGTCATGCCCGAATTCGCCATTAGAAAGTTTTGGGTTGGGGACAGTGTTTCACGTGTGAATGTCGAGACAGATTGGGACACAAAAGTAACAGAATCGTCATGTTTAGACTGCCGTAGGCATGGCACTGAACTAGCTTCATCACCTGGACAAATCAGAGGAAGAGTGGGATCAAAATGCTGACCTCCGCCGGATTTATTTGGGATGGGAATGGTTGCTAATCCATTCCCGCCACCGCCAAAATAGCTTGTTGGAAGAGCCCATGACAGAGGTTGAGTGAACATGAAGCAGAGTAGGGGGTAACATTGTCCTATTGACCGATGTTCAATAATATCTGAACTAGTAGCATTGCGTAGTAGCACGTTCAGTTCGTGATAGAATGTGTCCTTGAGATTATTAGAACTGCAGTCGGTGGAAGCGTAAGCGGATATCACAAACAAACAGCGTTTTGTACCACTTCGTGAATCAACCTTAGCTGATGTCGTCAAACGGGCTGCACAAAAACGGCTGTTCACCGGAATCCAATCAACCAACGATGGCTCAGCCTTGGAGCTTAGAATGATAACTACACCAGCTTGACCCATGAGTGCTGCATCGGCGTCTCCGGATGCATGCAACCAATAACCAGAGGATAAGCCGGATGTAGTTAATTCAATAGCCCCGTTAGGGTCATTGATCCTAGTTTCGGACACACAACACACATCAATATCCAGTGTGTCCAAGGTGCCTGCGAGTGCAGCATGTTGACCTGTTTGTCTTAGAGTGCGAACGTTGAATGTCGCCATGGAAACGGGATAGCGTGGCCTTATAAGGGACTTCTGCCGATAGCTGCTGTGGGGTGGTGGCTGCAGATGGTTTTAATCCAGTGGCACTTCGGTTGCTGTCAGTTAATCTGGGAATTATAGAAGGAAGGTTAGTAATGGGGGTCGGGATGGGAGTAAAAGGTGGAAAAGAAAGAAGGGAGGCGCCAGCAGTAGCGTGTTTTCGCTTATCCGCCCTGCTGTATGCAGCAGATAAGGTGACCCTTGATAATCTGCGCGACGGCCGATGCAGGATGAAGTTTATGTTTGAAGAAAATGTCATGGTTGTATGTGGGCTGAGATACTCCCAGGGCACCCAGACCTAGACAGGAGGACGATTAGGGTCCTCATCCAAAGCCTTTGGCTCAAAAGCCTGTCCGCAAGGTAGCGGGGAGGTGGCAATGATTTAGTTTTACAGAAATGGACGCCATATCATTTCAACCCCCCAACCTGGAGGACCAGGAGACTGAATTTGTCTGACCTCTCACCATTGACCAACCTGGTAGGTGTAGCTCTCAAGGTGTCCGGAGGCACCACCCAGTATAGCTCAATGGGTCAATGAGGTATGCAAACGGTCGCACCACCTTAAGGTCCATTCTCGTTGCAGGGGATATGAACGCACAAATAGGACGTCTGACCTCTTGAGAACCTTAGCTGGGTGGTAATTGTGGACTTAACTCCGAACGGACAGACAACGGCGAGCGTCTGCTGCAACTGTGTGCGGAGCACCAGTCGTTTCTTAGTAGCACTGCTTTTAGACACAGTGGGCGCCGAAGTGCCACTTGGCCTCCTCCTGTAGCTGGCCAGCGATGGACCCAAATTGACCACAAAGCCATAAGTTACAGGTTTCGTGGTTCCATCCTGGATTGCCGCTCATACTGGACTACTTGTGTCGACTCTGATCATGCAGGAGCAGTAGGCAATTATCTCAAGCTCTTCAAGCTAATCCGCACCACTGGTCCCAGAAAACCAGGCGTCAGTGACACAGTTAGAGACAGCGCGGGTGCGCTGATACACAATAAGGAGCGCCGTATGGCTCGGTGGTTTTCCCGGTGGTTCTAGGAATCTGGTCGATACGGAACTTCGGTCGCAACCGAAGTATGGTGCCTACTTGTATGTAACAACGTCACCGATTCACTGGCGTTCTTATACTCTTTCTCTTAGTTCATAATTTCCATCACTCTATCTGTCGTTCTTTTGTTCGTTATCCATTCTTCTCATGCTATTTTAGTATCCTCGTTATTTTTGTTAAGTGGGTCAAGGCGACCAAATCCAACACATTCCTATGTCTGGATCATTGTTCTTCAGCTATCGATCTTATGTGAGGGGCTTTGATGCATGAGCTCGCTTGCATCACCTACACTAGCTCACGTCAGTCATCATCGTCGCTGTGGCCGATCGGTATGAAACACGAACTACTAGCCGTGCTTTCCGATCTCCAAAAATTTGTCCGAAACGTTACTACTACACAGCGCCCGTCCTTCTAACTCCCATTTTTTTGGGATTGTATAAGAGTCCACATCTGCAACATCCACTTCCTTTCTTGGCCTTAATTATTTTCTTTTGCTCTTTGAGTCTACGCACCTCATCTCTTATCATATCCGACCTATAACGGAGTGGTTCGAGCGCTCGGTTTGTTATTCAGGGGTTATCTTTTCAAAACTGCATAGGCGTGGGCCACCTTGAAAAATCCCACTCCACATGTCATTGCTAGTGGTTGCTTGACAGTGAATCGGCGGCACGATGTTCCAGCATTCTATTGCCACTTTTTCCCATTTGGGCGCTTGGGTGATAGATGCCATTGCCCTAAAATCAACGGGGCCAACGGTCCGTACTACCACGAATTCTTTCTGAGTCCCCAAATCAGTCGAATTTCAGAATCTTCATGACGACGAACTTTATGCTCATACGACTTTTGTATTCTACTTCACTCGGTGACGTTGTTTTCGGGCCTTCTTTTGGCTCTCGTCACTCTCTCAGTCTTCGTTCCGCTGCCGGACTTTGTCTCCAATGCCCACTGCAGACGGAGGCCTCCGTAGTTTGTTTGTTCACCGTTAAGTCAATGTCTGGGCTTATTTTGCATTCATCCATTCATTACACACATTAGCTAGAGGTGGGAAACACCTTAGCTATTGTGCCGCATTAATAGTTAATGTGACCAGTCGGTAGTCGCATGCGCCGTTTTCCTGACTCGAAACCATCTGCTCCAGTCTACTATTTCAGTTAGTGACATTCTTTGTATTTGTTCACCTTACTTGTCCCGTTTCGCGTACCCTATTACCAACCCCTGTGGATTCAAACACTGAACACATCCTTTTCACACATCTTTTTATTGACTACCTGCCTGTCTCATTTTAACTTGAAGTAGCAAACTCGACTGTGTGCATTTTGAAGCTCATTCTCATCTTGCTTTCCTTGTAGACGTATCGCACTATCAAATCACCCGAGGAGCGTTCCCACATTCTCACTGCTCTTGGAGCTGCCAGAGAACTGGAGTTAAATAGCAATCAATCAGGTGATCATTCGCCTACCCCCTTGCAACGGGTGATCCAATTTTGTCTCGATCCCGCTGGCCCCGTTCGCGACCAAGATCGTATACATGGCCTGTTGGCTTGCGCTTCCTGGTCTTCTGCTTCAAGACTGGTCACTTGGAATTCAGTGAAAGTAGAGTGGGATCGCCTCTCAAAACTGTACCATGGACAGTGCTTGTTGGCCTACCTAGTTAAAGTGAGTCTTCATTACCTTTGAAGCCTCAAATCTTACCTGGAATTGATCCACATGTGGCCACAATTGTCTACCGCAGTCATGGTCGTAGCGGTATACCACGTACCCGATTCAAACGGACTATGTAGGCAAGTATGCTTCGAGCTACCATATGCTGTCGGACAGTCATTTCAGCACGGTGAACGCATGCCTCGCTTCTGCTCAATTCGTTAGGTACAGTTTTTGTGGTTGGTATTCACACACGACTTATTCACCTGTGACTTTTTCCAATAAACAATCAATCCGTTAAGTGACATCCTCCTCGGTTGGTTTAAACTAGTGCCGCCTAGCCAACACGTTCCTATAATGCATGCACCTCTTCGGGGATGCTGACCCACCAACCACTTCTCAAGTCTGCGTCGACACTTCTCCTTGCGCCTCAGATTTGTACGCCACCTGGCCAATCGTCTTTATCTACTTCAGTTAGTCGGCTTTGATCTGAAGATCCAAGCTCCGTAGGTTTAGTCGCTGGTTTAACAAATTGCTTAATTAATTAATGGGTATATTTGCCGACGGGCGACGTACCTTCCCTTTTGTGGGTAAAGCCTAACTGAGTGACTAGCTAAAACAGATCTAGTATTGTTCTCACGAATGTCAGAGATAACTTTCCGGAAGCGCATAGTCAGCCTTAATGACTAATGATTTAACTTCGCATCTTTTACTGACATATCACAATATCACACATTCAACAATATATTTGTCACTAACATCGTCATGGGCATCGATATCAATTTGGTGATCCGACTTAAGAGTAAGCGGTTTGATTTTGTCTGGACTCGGGTGGCGTTTGGGTGAGAGACTATCAATTATTAGCTAAATACATGGGTTTATTTCCTTAGGAGTGGGTTGCGTTTCCTTTCGAAGGACGACGATTTGCTAAAGCGAGTTTTATCAGCATTCCTCTTATGAACTTGTGTTCCATAGGGTCCAGTGATTCAATGGTTTGTGAAGTATGTAGTAAGTAACAGATGATCGGAAAGCTAGTTATGTCACATGTTTTTCGGGCCGGATTCCATGAATGAATCGGAAAATTTCCGAAGGCCGAAAAATTTGACCACATTTGGCGGGGAAAGAAAAGTTTTAGATGAGATCTACATAAAGACTAGTTCTCTCTAATCCTTAATTACCAAGGTAGCTTATTCCACAGGTGGGCGTACCCTACCAAAAATAACTGTAACTAAATAATTAGGTTGTTCTTCTGGAAAGATAATAGGCACTTCTTATTACTGATGGGAGAGATTGAACCGATGTGTAATACGACAGTCGTACTGTTTGTGAACTCGCAGTTATGGCATATTTTAAAGCAGGATAAGGTTGCTGCTTAGTCGTCGAAGCCAGAGTGGGTCAATTTGAAGGTAAGAACATCGTTCCTTCTAGGAAAGTGTTGATGAGCACCCCATGATCATTTTGATGAATAAACGCTGGACGTTTTTCAAAGCAGTTTTGTCTTACGTTGGTGGCTATGTACGAGGGGGTGCTGTTATGTTCCTGGTTTTGACGAGAAAGAAGAGAGCTAAAGTCATCAACTGACACATTTATTCAACATATTAACCCATGTGGCTGATGCACTTGGTACAGCGCATTCACAGTTTTTCTAGACCAATCAGGTAGCAGTCATCTGGTTGGGTTTCAAACCAGCCGTCAGCAGCATGTTTGACGTTAGAAATGTTTTCAAAGTGTCGCTCCGTCAGATGTTTCTTCAAGTGTGGGCAGCGCGAATGGTCTGATGGGGCCAGGTAAAGTGTGTAGGTGTATAGCAGATCAACTGGAAACCCAGAGTGCTAAATTTGGCAGCCACAACATTGGACGTATGCTCAGGTGCATTGTACTGCAAGAAAATGACATCTTTGGTCAGCTTTCTATGTCGTTCCCTCTTAATCGCCCTGCTCAGCTGATTCAGGAGGTTAGCACAATACTGTCCGGAGACACTGGAGCCCTGAGGAATGTAGTTTACCAACAGAGTACTGTCTTTGTTCCAGGAAATAGGCGCAACAACCTTTTCGGCTTATTTTAGATAATGAAATTCCTCGGCCCCAAAGACTCACTGTATCTTTGACTGTATCCTTTGACTGTTCCTTAGTGTCAGGATCATATAAGCAAAGCCAGGTTTTGTCCTCAGTCACTAACCTAGTCGAAACCCCATATGTAGCCTCAAAATGGTCCGATTCGTTTCTGTTTCTGATCACTGGTTAGACATTTCGGTACCCACCTTGCTGAAAGCTTACGCATACCCATAATAACAGAGATAACATTTTAACACGCTCGCGTGAGATGTCCAGTATCCGTTGGTTTATCTTATATTCGTCGGCCCTCTATAACAAGTTCGTGGTTTGACGGGTCATTTGAGGTGTGGCAACGTCCCCTGCGGGGATGAGCAATCTTTAAATGAGATATCCTGTGTTTGACAATGCTGTAGGAAGCGCACTTCTCCCCAGTGTTTGTAACATCTGTTTGTGAATTTTCTTGGCGGACTTTTTCTTGAGGAACGAAAACTTCGTGACCTTCCGTCACTCAAGCGACATAAAATCTGCTTCTATTTCTGCCCTCGTAGCTGCTACGTAAAAACAAATGTGTTAGCATCACAAACACCTGGTATTTGCACGCCATTGCAATAAGGCTTGTCTAAATGTGGTTCGAGGGTTTGCATACTTCAGAGCTCCGTTGAGCTATGCTGGGTGATGCTTTTGCACCTTCAGAGCCACTCATACCAGATTGGCCAATAGCTAGAGGCTTGACAAACTCAGTTTCTTGGTCCTCCAGTTTGGGGTTGGAGTAAGGACTCTTTGTTGCCCAGCACCGAAACCCCGCTGCCTTCTGGGCATGTTTTTAAACCAAAGGCTTTGCTTGAGAGCCCTAATCGTTCTCCTGTCTAAGCCTGGACAACCTGACTGTATCTTGCCCACGTAATACAATGCCTTATCCTTCAAACCAATTCTTGGTGCTCTGGCCACCGCAGCGGATAGTCAACGGTGCCCTATCTGCTGCATCGAGCAGGGTGGATAGGGGTTTGGATTCTACTGCTCAAGCCTTCCCATTTTCTTATTCCCCCTCTTACGCATTTTCTCTCTTACCGTCCCGTTCCAGCTTCACTTTTATACCCTCTGTTTTCAGCCCTCCAATTCTTGACCCTTCCCCACCTTCCTTTGCTAGGCTTTTACCTTATAGTTTCAACTCACATGTGAACACGGAGCGTTATTCCTGTCCTGTCGACAAGCCCATGTCCAACCAAGCGGGCATGCCCAGTTCATCGGCTTCCATTTGGAGCCCTCGATCCTCCTTCAGATTGGTACGCCTTAATGTACGCACATTGCTACAGATCGGTTAACAGGCAGCACTTGCCCGAACATGAGTGACCCTCTCGATCGATATCTGTTGCTTATCGGAGACCCGCCTGCAAGACTCGAGCTCTGTGCTCACTTTGCGATCCCCTTCAGGTGACACCACCAGCACTTTCTCGTTGCGCCTCTCCGGTGATGATGCAGCTCCGAGCACCGGCCAAGCCGGTGTTGGTATCGCCCTGAGTCTCCGGGCTGAAACTGCTCTGGTTGATTGGATTCCAATCAGTAGCCGGTTGTGCGCGGTCCGAGTGGCTGGATCGTTCAAAGCTTAGAAGTCACGTGGGACTAACAGGTGTCTATTCGTCATCGCTGCTTAAGCACCCACAAACTGTAGCGATGATTCGGTAAAAGACGACTTCTATCTCCAATTGAACAAGCTCCTTCGCCACAGAAGAAACTCGGGCACTGTTGTTCTGGCTGGGGATCTGAATGCTCAAGTTGGAAAATTATCCACTGATGAGCTGCATATGAGCGGCTGGCACGGTGTAGACTCCTGTAATGATAACGGTGAGCGGTTACTTCATTTGTGTGAGGATGTTCGCTTATTTCTTGCGAGCACTAATTTCCGACACAGCACCCGCCGGAGGGTGACTTGACGCCCACTAGCCTCGAACCAGCTATGGACGCAAATCGAGCACATTGCGATAACTGAAAAGGCTGGACATTTTGCGTCCAGAGCTGTCGCTCGTTTTGGAGCACAGGTGTGAACACCGATCATGCACTTGTTTGTGCTGACCTGCAGATGCGTTTTGGCGGATGTCCAAAACGACATTGTGAGCGCATTGACACCAACCAACCGGCGAAGCCAGCTGTTCTGAATGCCTATCAAAGTATGCTGTCATGCGAGTTGTGTAAGCTCTCACTGGATGCAGTTGAAGCTCACTGGTCTCATATTCACCAGTCTTTACTAGCAGCAGGCAAATCCTCATGTGGTAAGTTTAATCGCTAACATGGACATTGGGTCTCTTCGCAGTCTCTGGAGCTGATCGATGCTCGCCGTCATATTCCGGCTGGAAGCGAACACAATGAAACTCGCAAAGGGCTCCGGGCAAAACTCCGTGCTAGCCTGAAGAGAGACCGCGTATCCTGATGGTCTCATCGTGCATCAGAGATGGAAATGGCCGCTGCTCTTAGTAACCATCGTAAGTTATTCCGGCTGATATGGGAAACGGGCAGCAGGAGACCTGGTGTTAGTGAAACTATATGTGATGAAAGTGGACAGCCTATCCACAACTTGTCAAAACGCTTAGAGCGTTGGGCTGAGGATTTTGAAAGGCAATTTAATCGGTCGGAATTGTTAGATTTCTCGCCGACCACTGATCACTCCGCTCCCTGGGCTGTCCCTTTGGATCCACTCCCTCGCTCAGAAGTCTATGGTGATATCGGACTGTTGAAGTTGAACAAAGCCGCGGGACCAGATGATCTACCTCCAGCCCTCTTCAAATTCGGTGGACCTGCTCTTGTAGATGATTTATACGAGTTATTAGTGAAACTGTGGAAGCAGGAAACTGTTCCAGCCGACTGGAGCCGCTCCGTCATAGTCCCAATTTTCAATGGAGGCTCACGATCGGAATGCGGTAGCCATAGAGGAATCAGCCTGATCTCCGTCGCCTCCAAATTGCTTGC